TGGGGGCGGGGCCGGGGGCGGGGCCGGGCCAGGCGGGGCCTAGAATTGAGGGATCCCGGAGCTTGCTGCGATCTGGGTGTGCTTGCCTGGTGCGCTCGGCAAACTGGCGGAGGGTTCTATTTACTGTGAAGAGCAGCGTGAAGGTCCCAAGGTGTTGGGGTTACGTGGGTGGGTAGGGTTCTGCCACTCTTTGTGGAGGAAAAACCTTGCCAAGCGTGGTCATTTCCAGGCTGAAAGTTTGTGTGGCAAAAACATGTCTGGGGTCAGGTGCGGTGGCTCACGCCTGTAATCCCAGAACTTTGGGAGGCCGAGGCAGGAGGATCGCTTGTGCCAAAGAGTTCGAGACCAGCCTGGGCAACATGGCGAAACCCCGTCTCCACAAAAAATATAAAAATTAGCCTGGCGTAGTGATGGGCACCTGTAGTCCCAGCTACGCGGGAGGCTGAGGCGGAAGGATCACTTGAGCCCGGGAGGTCCAGGCTGCAGTGACCCGAGATTGCACCGACCCGAGATTGCACCACTGTACTCCGGCCTGGGCGACAGATGACACCCTGTCTCAGAAACAAAAACAGAAAAACACACGGCGGGATGGGAGGAGAGATGAAGGAGCCATAAACCGAATTCTGTTAATCACCCAGAAGGTGCTCTGTTAACTAGGCCATTCCTCATTCCAGAAGAAACTGAGTGACTAACCCATCTAGGGGCTGGGAGACCTGGGACAGCATTCTGAAATGTAATCAGCGTTGCCTGGGCACGGTAGCAAGCACCTGTAATCCCAGCTACTCGGGAGGCTGAGGTGGGAGGATCACTTGAGCCCAGGAGGTCGAGGCTGCAGTGAGCTATGATCACACCATTGCACTCCAGCCTGGGTGACAGAGGGAGACTCGTCTACAAAAAAAGAAAGAAATTTGCCAGGCGGGGTGGCTCACACCCATAATCCCAGCACTTTGGGAGGCTGAGCTGGTGGATCATCTGCAGTCATCAGGAGTTCAAGACCAGCCTGGACAACATGGTGAAACCCCATCTCTACTAAAAATACAAAAATTAGCTGGGCATGGTGGCTCATGCCTATAATCTCAGCTGCTTGGGAGACTGAGTCAGGAGAATCGCTTGAACCTGGGAGACGGAAGTTGCAGTGAGCCAAGATCACGCCATTGCACTCCAGCCTGGGCAACAGAGAGAAACTGTCAAGAAAGAGAGAAAGAGGGAGGGAGGGAGGGAGGGAGGGGAGGAAATAAATAAATTTAATCAGCTTTACTTTTCCCTTCAGCCTCAAGTGACTTGGATTTCCTTGAGTTCAGTGACTAGGGAGCCAAGTGTTGGGCTGCGAAAGGTAGACGGATGCTCCAGGGATAGAGACCTGTATCAGGTGAGTAACAGGAGCTGGAACCAATAAACACTCAGATGGTGCTAGTGGTCACGGTTCTGTTCTGGGTTCAAGGACACAGAAGGAGGTATGAGGTGGTTTTCAGCCTAAGTGGGGTGGGGGGGAGGGGAGAAGGAAGTGCACAAGGCCAGGAGGCAGTTCCAGAACCTGAGAGCACAATCCCGCATGATCTCACTGCAGGCCCAGGATTCTGGAACTTGGTCTGCCTGATAGGCCCTATACGAAAGATGTAGTAGGGAAAAGGAGCGACAGCTGGCTAAAGGGGCCCCCCACAACCCTCCCCAACACTCTAGGAGAGCAACCTCTCTCCGCTGGTCCCGGGGTGTCATGGAGATGGAGAGCATGGCGGCCTCCACACGTTTCCACCAGCCTCACATGGAGAGGAAGATGAGTGCGATGACCTGTGAGATCTTCAACGAGCTTAGGCTAGAGGGCAAGCTCTGCGACGTGGTCATCAAGGTCAATGGCTTTGAGTTCAATGCCCACAAGAACATCCTCTGTAGCTGCAGTTCCTACTTTAGGTATAACAGGGTTGCCAAACTAAGCCAAAGGGGTAATTGGGCTCATTTTGAGACACTTTGATCCGTTTTCTCTTTCCCACCCCACCATCTCAACTTTAGGGACACGGTCAAGGCTCTGTACTCCTTCAAAAAAAAATTTTTAAGCCCAACACAGTGGCTCACACCTATAATCTCAGTACTTTGGGAGGTTGAGGTGGGCAGATCATGAGGTCAGGAGTTCGAGACCAGCCTGACCAACATGGTGAAAGCCCATCTCTACTAAAAATACAAAAACTAGCCAGGCATGGTGGTGCACACCTGTAATCCCAGCTACTCAGGAGCCTGAGGCAGGAGAATTGCTTGAACCCGGGAGGCAAAGGTTGCAGTGAGCCGAGATCATGCCACTGCACTCCAGCCTGGGTGACAAAGCAAGACTTCATCTCAAAAAAGATTTTTTTGTTGTTGTTTTAAGTTTTTTAGAGATAAGGTCTCACTCTTTTGACCAGGCTGGAGTGTAGTGATGCAATCATAGGTCACTGCAGCTTTGAACTGCTGGGCTCAAACGATGCACCTACCCCAGCCTCCCAAGTAGCTAGGTCTACAGGCACATCCCACTACATCACGCTACTTTTTTTTTTTTTTTTTT